GTAGAATACTGATTCCTTAAAAAAATCTGGCTGACAAATAGGAGTGCTCAAAATAGTTATCAAAGCTCACTAGATGTCCAAAAATTTCAAAGTTTTGAGAGTCAATTTTCCATTCCATAGGAAAAAAAAAGCTGACTATATTGAATCCAGAAGATTTTGTTTCTTTAGTTTAGTGTAGTATGCAAAATTAAATAACACTTATTGACATCTTTTCAGTGTAGATTCTTGATAAGAAAATGTTCTGATACAATTTTAATGTTTTAAATGTTTCTGTTCTAGTACGTTAAGCTCATCACATAAATTCTTACACACATGTATGTGCATTGCAGTTGCATTAAAAGCTCAGTTTTGCTAAAGAATAGCACCAAATTTGTGGTAAATATTAAACCGTCTTAATCTGTTAAGAATTCTAAAACAAATCCTAAAACAAGAAGCATAAATAGTGAGTTCATGGTTAATTTCCATCCATAGAAAATTTAATTTGTGCCCAGAGGTGATTATAAGTGCAGTGACAAGGCTTATTAGACTGCACTGAAAGATCTATCCCGGATACTCAGAATCATAGGGAATTAGGCTTAAACAGTCTTTTGCTGCCTGAATTGAAATTAGTTATAATAATAAAGTTGACTGCTGAATCTTCTTGATCTCTCAAAAGTTTTAAAAAAGACATGACACTTATTTCACTGGATTTGTTTTTCCTATTCATAACTCCTAGTGATAACACTGCCTATCTATCAGGTAATGTAGAACTGATAAAAGAATGAGGAAAAAACCTCAACTTTTTCTTGATGTATATAAGTTTTGATTTTGAGAGAGTGTTATTTTCTGGATATATTTTTCTTTATTTTACTGTGAAATTATTTACTTCAAGGAGTTTTTCATAGCTGGAGTTTTGGAAATGATCCCTCAACATTTGTTTGGAAAAGAGGACTTGTGAAAGGCAAAGATCCCTCTTAAAGCAAGTGTCATATATTAATGGCTGAATGGTATGCTGAGCTTTTTTTTTTTTATTTACATGGGAAAGGCATCAGGTATCAAGTAGTTAGGAGATTATATTGTAATTGTAATAGTAGGAGGAGAAGCATGGTACAGTACAGATGCAGCCCTGTAGTGTCAAAAAATACCTCCAAATTCTCAGGTTCCAAAGCTTAATGTACGTACTTCTGATATCTCAGGAAGAAAAGAGGCTGGGTGGGGAAAGGTAGGGTGCTGAGGAGACAAATGGGAGAACATGCTGGGGTGGAAAGGTGGAGCAAACAACATGGCAGCTTCCGTCAAAACAGAAATAACTGTGAGACTGGGCAGCACAATGTTTTATCTGCAGGTGGGATTGTGCCAGAGAACTGCTTTGGGGTTTTGCGATCCTGAGAAGGAAAATGTGTGGGCATACCCTGCCTACCTCTTTTAACATCGTCTGGCTCTAGGCAAACCAGAATGCCTGCCCTACAAAAGGCACAATTATAAAATATCTGAATATTTTTCATCTAATAATAAAGGCATAATAAGTAGATTATTTGCTTCACTATATTGCACTTTTATTAAGCATTCTCTGAAAAAAAGCAAAGAGATTCCTGCAGCACTTTGCTATATGAGAATGCTTACCTTGGAGGTCACTGGGACTGCTTGTATATTCTAGCATTTGCAGGCTCAAGCTGTGTTATTTGCAGAATGTTTTGAAAGATATCAGGATAACTACCCCACTTTTGTGGTTTTAAAAATAAATGTGAAGTCCTTAGTTACGAAACTGACTATTCTTAGAAATTATGTTTCATGACTTCTTTTGGAAATTAGACTGCAGCCTGCAGTAATATTAGCTCGTCTGATTCACTCTGTTAATGTTTGTATTAATATATTAAAGCGCCTCTGTTAATCCCTAGCAAAACAACCCAAACCACATGCTTATTATGTATTTTATCCGAGTAGTCTTCCAAGTGTCAAATTAAGAGCTTTCATTATGATGAAATTACATTCCTGTTTACCTGAGGTTTAAAAAAACATTGTGTTAGGACTTGCACAGGCTAGTGCTGCTCTCAAGTCAGTGGTAACTCAGTCTGGTGCTTTGATGATGACCCTAAACACTTACGTAGGATGCAGTAGCCAGCAGTGCAGATGACCATGGAGGATGTGGAAATCATACATAGGCTTGGTTGGCCCTCTGCAGAAGAGCCTTTTGAAACATAAGGAAATAGATCTGTGGGTGTGGGGTTTTTTCAGTGGAAAATCAGCACATCTAAAATTTGATGGTTACATTTACAAATATTTAGGTCAGTTCTGCTCATTACATTTAATCACAGTGATTTTTCCTGCAAGTAAAGAAAGCAGACTCAAACATAGTGTCTGAAGTGGAATTTTTTTCTAATGAATGACCAATTTTGTCTCGGCTCCTATTTCAGTGTGTCATTTATCTTGATTAAGTAGTAAATCTCTTCCATCGTGTTATTTAGGAATCTAATTCTGATTTCATATTTACAATAGTTAAAGTATCCTACTAAGCATGATGTTTTTGTGGGAATTTGCAAAAGTTCAATAGCACTCATTACTTGTTTGCAACAGAAATAGACTTGTTAAAAGTTAACAAGAAAAGTTTGAAATGTAAAGATGTTTCATTATTGTGCTTTTCTGACAGAACCTGTAATCCTTGTGTAATTTATGTCCTCAGAGTAACACCTGTATGTACGCTCTTTCATATTTAATAAAACATTGTAAAAACATCTTTGAAAATTATTGTTCATTGCTTGCCTTGTCAGTCTCATGGTGGGAAATGGCTTTAATGGAAACTGCTCCCTCTACTCAGGAGTCAGCCAAGATCTCATCTCAGTGATGATGCTGAGGAAATGTTTGATACTAATTTCAGGTTTATTACTCCCTGTATTTTGTGTGAGTTTTCAGTGAGGATGCAGTGCATTAAAGGGTCTGAGGTCCTGTCTCTAGAACTGTCAATTTAGTTGAGCTGGTTATTTTAAGACACACTTTTGTAACATTTTCAATGTGGTATGCCACAAGTACTGCCAGCGATACGCATACCATGGCCCATGGTATAGAATTTGTGTGAGCTGCGAAATAACTCTCACTCTCTCATCAAATGCCTCTGCAGGGCTGTATGCTTAACGGAGACCTTCTTGCTCTTGCTTTACAAAGTCTGGCTGAAGTTCTGCCCTCTCTGAAATCAGTGAAGGCATTTTTCCTCTCTCAAATGGTTCTTCCAGCTCTTCAAACACAAGCCAGTAATGTGGCCTGGCAGTGGTTTGGAGGGGAGCTCAGCAAGTCTCTCACAGCCAACAGCCTTCAGTGTTCCATCAAGTACACGAAGGTAATGTGTCCTGAAGGGAAGAGTGCATGACGTACATATATGCGTGTAATATATGTCTGCATGTAAGTCTCTGATGTGTGGGTATGTATGTATATGCCTATATATATTATGTATAGATATATGTTTATACACGTGTGTCTGCCTTTCATTACACCAATTCTGTGCAAGTCCAGTTAACAGAAAAAAGACTCTCTTAAAGGCTTAGGAATAATATAAAAGCTTTGGAGATTATTTTTACCCAGCATATTGAAGCACACTTGTAAAACAAGAAAAGGCATGTACTGAATGACTTTTTTCCCTTTGCTCCTAGAATAAAGTCTTAATAGCTCACAGTAACAATCCCCTTAAACAACACATCTGGACACGTCTGACAACTCAGGTAATTCCAAAGAAAAAAAGATGTTATTTGGAGCATGACAAGGCTCTATCTCTGTTAACAGTATGCTGCAAAGGTAACACACTTGGTTTGCAGAATGCCTGTAGCTCAGTGCCTACCACACACAAAACATTTTTGGAATTGCGTAGTTTAGACAAGCTCTCTCCTGTGATGCTGTGGATAGATCATCCATTAGCTTTCTCTGCACACTGGTTGTGTTCTCCCTTTCACGTCTTTTTTCCCCAGCTTGTAGTTTTATCCAAAAGGAATGCACTCTTGACCGCAAGTTGTTGTGCAAGAAGCACTGTGAACAGGGACAATGGGGAAACGTGCTTTGATCTAACAAACACATTAATGTTGGCACCTTGAAACACAGCAGATGCTTGTGCTGGTCTCACACTTATCTCATGGGAAGCACAGCAGTACCTAATGTGTTGACTTTTAATAAGAAAATTTATTGTGAAATTTGTATTTTCAAATACTTTTGTGCAATGCACATTTTCCGTCAACAAAATGAAGTATTTTTCCAGAGACTGGATTTTAAGTACAGCAACAGGTGAATTAATGCCAAGTTCTACACTGGAAAAGGCAACACTCCAAGGTTTGTATTTTGATTAAAGAATGGCAGTTCATTTTATCCTACACATACATAAGAGACAAAGAGCAGTGAACCCTTCAGTTATTGTGCAAGTGCACAGGAGATGTAAAAAGGTTACATGCCAATCTCTGAGACTCTTCAGTACAGTTTACAACAAACTATTCTCCCCTGGCCTGGACTGTTCCCAGCTGACAAAGTTATTTGCTGGTCCTATTTCTTAAGCAGTATTCACTGAGTCTGAAGGCACTTAAACTGTTCATTTGACTAGCAAAAGAAAAATACAGACCTTTAAATCCAAGAAAATAAATACTTTTAACTAATAGGCGCTATTTCTCAGGGGGGAAATGTGAAGCACCATGAGCAGGTCTATCACTGCAGACTCTGTGGGACCTCAGTCCTGAACAGTGACTTTATACTATCCTCTCTCAGCTCTGTGCCAAACATAAATTGAAAATCTTTAATCTTGACAATCAAATGGTCCTGGTGGGACCATCATCAGGTTCCCCAAAGGATAAATCCTGGCTTTTAATTCTTGGGGCATTAGAAACTGCAAAACATGTTTAAGATTCCCAAGCATATTAAATTGGCTATCTTCTCATCTCCCTCTGGCAGACAATCACTCCCCTTACAAACAGAGCTTCCTTCTAAAATATATGGTCTGTGCTTCCACAATGTACAGGATGTCAGCTTGAGTTTTTAAGAAATCACTTTGGTGATTTACTAAAACTGGAGCAACGTTTATTGCTGTAATCTTTATTACTTTGAAATAATATATAACTAAAGTAAAGTCAAGAAGGCTTTGAAATCCGACTTCCGGCTTTTCTCTTTTTCTTCTAGGTCAAGCATCCGTTTTAGCTTAGAAAAGTGAAATTTGGAGTTGCGGGGAGTCTTCGAAGCAGAGTTGGTTGCTGCCTGTCCAGATTCATGTGTCCTGAAAAAGAAAAGATTCAAATGTCTTGAAAAGGGGAGAAATCAGAATTAACATAAAGTAACTCTGAAAGCACACATATATAATTTGAGTGAAAAGTATCCAAGAGAAATAGTGTATTTTTACATGCAAGTGAGCAGTCAGAAGTGTTTGTCATGCAAATTTTAGGACTGACATTTTGCATTAATGACACAAATGTAACTGGGCATTCTTTGCACACAGTGTCTTTTCATGAGAATCTTTGATTTTAAAGGCTGGAAAGTTAAAATTGATCTCCTCAACCATACTAGCTGAGAAATACACTAAGTTATTGAAACTATTAAAATCAAACAAGATGTAATGCACTCTACTTGGCAAAGAGCTGCTTTAAAGAAACACGTACCTGGAAAGTGATGAGGGAGTGTTCCCTTTAGATCCCAACCTACTACAGCTTACAGGTGTCATTTTCTTTGCAGACTGAATTTTTGTATCTGGTGTCTTCAGGTTAGATTTGATACCTGGAGTGCCACAATTTTTTGTTTTGGTTGCCAGAAAATCCCTGCTTTTACCATAATGTCTTATTGTTTTGTTGCAAGATTTGCAAGTAACCAGCTATGGAGAGAAGAAAGGAAATATCAAGCTGCCTTTCAGTCTTCCCACCTTTATATTATAAAGCCATTAGAAGAATTATCCAAACTGTTCTCCAAATACCGTGACAAAAATTAAGTATTTGCTTAAGTAAAAATGAGATACTAAAAAGTAACACATACTTTACAACTAGTATTTTAATGTGGGTTTATTAAGCCAAACACATCCTTTGGGTTTATCTAGAAATTACTCCAATTCCCTACAAACTAATTTCAGGAGACCCATACTGCTGAATGTAATGTTGTACAGTGAAATACAAGGAACAACTCTGTCAAAACAGATGAAACAGCACCTGAACTGGGAAAATCGTATTTTGAGTGTACAAGATATTTTTAAGTATACTGAAGTACTCCTATACATTAGGTATTTGGCTAAAGTCATTAGCACATTCTAGCCCCAATGAAGTTATATTGCACACTTTTCAGAGATGGGATAAAATATTTAAACTACCAAACTCTCAAAGTCAGTCATCCATTTTACTAAAACCAGCAAGTCACAGTGAACAAAGAAAAGGCTTTGTATTAGGGCAAAAGTACTCCCTATAATAAGGAGGATGTTCTAAACGAAGGGCACTTTATCTTCTCTCTGTGTACCTCTAGGCTGCAGGGAACTTGAGCAGCACACCAAGCTGAGAGGTGCATCAGAACCAATCATGTCACCCAGTCAGAGAAACTGTCATGCATTCCCGATATCCCTTACTGCCATGGCAACTACTCATACTAAGAGATATGAGAGTAACACAGCCAGACAACTTTCTGAGGCACCAATTAGACTGACAGAAAAACAGTTATGTGAGGCTTCTGGTTAAAAATAACATACTCAAAAAACTGTCACAGAAATGTCTAAGCAGTTTTGAAAACATCTACACCAAATCATTCTTCATTTCCAAGGGTGTAGATTTAAATTCAGACTGTTTAGTAAAAATTACATTTAAGGATGCTGAAATGGAACATTTTTAGTTGTGTTTTGGCTTTCTCTAGACATTATATTTTGTCATCCTAACAAACTAAAAAAAACCAAAACAACAGAAACAGCATTAACTATTGTAGTGCTCAGGTACTGATGTATTTTTAGTTCTTCTAAATGAAATTCAGGTGTGAAACAAATTCATCATCTCATGGTGACTTAAAACTGTGTGGAATATAAATGGAGGTGACCACTTTACAATGCAGGAATTACTGGATTAATCATAGCACTTCACAGCTAATTTGCATTCCCTGAAATCAGCAGTTACCTCCAAGGTTTCTTTAAATCCCTGAAACAGTCCCTATGTTATATACCTTTTTATGGCACAAGAATTCTAAAATCAAGTTCTACTTGATAAGAAAGTTCTCATTGGTTCAACCTGTCACACTGTTGCTTGCTTTAATTTCCAACCACACTGGAATTTTCATTTGCACAAGTCTCAGGTATTAGATTTCAGGGATCAACATTGCTAATTTTGAAAGCTGCCAGTTGCTGACAGCATTTTGAAGACTTAAGAAACACTTAAATCATAATCCACAGGACAAATTCAAACTGAGTGGAACACAAGTAGAGCAAACTGCAATTACATACCAAGATCAAACCCAGAGTTTAAACTAGACCTATTTAAACTGAATTTTAAACTACGCATATAAATGCACAGTGTATCCCTACAAACACTCCCCAGCTACACAGTAAGTCTAAAAGCCCATCATCATCTCATAGGACACAGCTCTGTTCACCAGTTGCTTAAAGAGACAGTTCTCTAATGTACCCTCAACATTTGTGATCCCAGAAAAATGAAGCAAAGATTTCAGCTTGCAGAATCACAGAAAATCTTGAGTTGGAATGGATCCACAAGCATCATCAAATTCCAGTTCCTGGCCCAGCACAGGACATGCCAAGAATCACACCATATGCCTGAGAGTGTTGTCCCAAGGCTTGTTGATCTCTTGTCAGCCTTGGTGCTGTGATCCCTTCCCTGGGGAGCCTGTTCCAGTGCCCAACCACCCTCTCGGGAAGAACCTTTTCAGATGTCCTTTCTGAAGCTCAACTGTGAACTACGATTTGTGGAGAGCACCTTTATGAAGCATCATATTTTGCTCTGACAGCCAAGAACCTTGGTGATATTTTCAGAGTTAAAAATTTTTTTATTGACTCTTTTAATAGTTTTTGGTTTCACAAAATTTACTCCTGAAACCACAAGACTCTCATCCAAGAAAATGCCAAGTGTGCCAGCAACTCCTGGACACAATAGGGTCCTGTCTCATTTATTCTAACAACCATTCACATAATCTGTTTTAAAAATGGTACATACCTTGGCAATACTAGATTAAATGTATACTATTATTCTTCCAATAGTTATTAAATGTCATATTCCTGAGTACTTTAAGAAAAAATTGCTGAAGCCCCAAGAAAAATATCATCTTGTTGGAATTCCCCCTGTGGTTTAGTTTTGAAAGACCTCCTATAAACAGTAACATTCGGACAAATGTATAAAAATTCTATTAATACTGATAGTAATAATAATCTGATGTAGCCATGAGAGGCTAGTGAAATGCATGAAGCAAAGCTTGTGTCAAAACAAATTTGCGTATTTGCTTAGCAACTGATAAACAAAGGCAGTAAATGAGATGTTTGTGTAGCTTCTTTAACATGTGGGGTCACAAAGATTTTTTTTTGAGAGAAAAGCTTACTGGTCTTGTCATTCGTGTTCATGATCTAGCTATTGTGGAAGGTAGATTTAAAAAATGTTGTTTATGCACAGAAATTATCTCAAAAAGAAAGGAAGAGTCTTATGCTCGCAAAAAAGAAATGTGTGGGCTCTTCTTCTGAGAAAGGTTCTTGTACTTTCTCTTTTAGGCCACTGAAATAGGAACATGAAATATCATGTACTTAACAGTTTCAAGTAAATATCCTTACCAGAATGCTTCTTGACTCCCTGTACTTTCTCAAAAGCTTTGTCTGTTTCATGTTAAGCTTATGATTCTTTGCCTCTCGTTTTAGAACTTTCTGTATCTGTGGAGTCACTTTCATCTTTGGTTTGAGGCGCACCCGGTAGCTGTCAGGAACCAGGAACTGGAAGCAGTAAGGACATATCCTTTCTAATCCACGTTCGCTAGCTACAGAGAAATAAAGGCAAAAGGATGAGTAACTATGTTTTATAAGCAAACTTTAAAATTGCATATTTCAATTTTAACATTACTTAAGTACATGTTTTTGTGTTTAAGATAGCACTAGAACACAAGAGGAAACTGAGCACCAGAATGTTCTCAGCTGGGCACAGTTCAGACCAAGTTAATGCATCGCACAAGTTCAGACAATATGTAAGTGTAGATTTTCTTGGAAAAATGCAATTCCTTGCTAAAAACCTTTAGCAACGGAGGCTCACAATTCTGCAAAGAGCTCCATGTAAGCAAAATCTTCTAAGAGATCAGGGACACCAAAGCTTTGCAAAGCTCTTTGCCCATTTTAAGTGAGAGAAGGCGACACGACCTCAGGCTAGAAAGAAGAAACGCTTTGAGATAAATTTCAGACCCACTAAGAGGCTCGCTCCTGCCATCTGCCTCATTAGCTCCTGCTGCCGGAGCCGGACTCGGGCGCCTCTCCCTAAGTCCCCGAGGAACAGCTGGCCCTGCTTCCTGACGAGCTCGCCACTGCTGCCGGCAGCCCCGAAACACATCCCTGCGGGGGCACTGCAGGGGCACGGGGAAAACGGAGGGAGAGGGCGAGCCGCCATTCGTTCCCACGCTCCTGTCCTTCCGCGGCCTCCGCGCGCTGCTCTCCCACGGCAGGAGCCTCGGCTGGAGCACGCCGGGCTCCGGAGCCCCCTCCTCCGGCCCCGGCTCCACCGCCTGAGCCCGGGGCCCCTCACTCGCCTCGGGAGTTGCGGAGCATCCACCTGCGCGGGAGAGAGGGAAAGCGTCAGGGCGCGTCACCGCCGGGCTCTCCCACCGCCCGTCCCCTCCCCGCCGCGATCCCTTACAGCAGGAATCGCGCCTGGCCCGGGCAGGGCCCC